AGCTGATAAGCCTGTCAAAGATGACTCAGACATTACTTCAATGATGCAAACTGTTTGTTCATCATTCTTCTAGTTGTCCAGCTTTTATAATCCTTGGTCATCTTTCTCTTCTTCATTAATGATGCAATTTTTGGAGGATGCCAGAAGTGTTAGTGTCATCTGAAAGAGAACTCTGAAGAACATTGTCCAGTTGTCTATCAGTATTCCCAATAAGATACTAAGGGTTTAAATGCAATTAACACAACTCTGGTTTCTGAGTTGCGTGGATTCAGATAAGACTAAACTTAGGGGGTCTTTTTAAATTTTTTTTTTTTACAAGGTAGGGAAACTTGTGCTATACTGTTGGTATTGACAGTGGCAACCCAAAATTTGCCTTCATAGCAAAAAAGTGGCGAGTGTTCCTCTAGGTAAGCCATTTTACTCTCCTTGAGTAAGTTCTTGTTAGTTCATATAAACTACATAATTCTAAGTATGGTGAAATAGTTTGGGAGAAGGAACCCTGACAAACTCAGTAGCATGTATATCCAGCAGTCATTTGTACATTTGACTTTTTCTTGCCTCAATTCCCATTATGTTAGCAAGTGTTAAGAGAAGAAATAATGGTAGAAGTGTAGGGTATTCCCTGTTAACTAAAAGAAAGAACTGCCACAATGATAAGTCACACTGCTGTGATAACCTGGACTCTTGGTTTTTCTTTACACTGGGAAAGATAGTAGAAGCTCTTTAAAATGTACTTCAGGGTAAGGTTGGCACTGTGTGAATTTTATGACAACTTACATTTGTGGTGAAGTAAAGGAAAAACATAACATTTCTAATGTCAGACCTAGCTATATATTTTAGGTACATTTTAGCTTACATTTTACCCCTGTTAAAATGTAAACTAGGAAGCCAGAATAGCTCCCAAGCTCTGATATAATTTTAAACCGAGCTTAATTGCTGTCATGCTGCTGTAGGGAACTTTATTAGTTCCTGATGCATGACATTATGCAAGTATTTCACTTAATGTTGTTGCAATTACTGGAAAATATGGTGACAATATGTACCAAGTCATTTAAATGTCAAAACTTTGTGGTTAGAGAATGCAGAAGTTTGTGTTGCATGAAGGCACTTCCATACCCCCAAAGAAAACCTCTGATGCCCATGACTGCCCTGGAGCTTCGCTCCTCGACACCTGAAACCCTAAAACACAGATAAAGTGTTTGTGGTATCATCGTGTTTATGTCAAGGCACTAGACCTACCACAATGCTTAATCCTATGATACTGCGGTAGTAAGCAAGTAGTTATCTTCCTGTCTTTTTCCTACTGTGATTGTATACATTGGAGGTTTTAAGTCTAATTTCATCTGATCACTTTTAGCCTGTTTCCCCTCTGGGCATATGATCTGCTTTCTGCACTGCCTAACACTATTCTCATGCATGGTAAAATGACTACAGCAAAAACTCTGCTTGACATAGGAAAGGGAATGACAAATCCCTGGCTCAACCAAGTATGGGAAAAATGGAGTCACTTAGTTTTAATAACACATATGGAGGATGATGTTGAGACTTCAGACTTTGAAGGAGTAGTATTCTACAGTTTACTTTTTCTGTATAAGGTAGCTTCGCAAGCTGTAAAGCACTTGCAAAATCTTTTCCTGCAAATCCTGTTAAATTTTCCAAAAGGCTGTCTAGAATGCTGTGCATCCCCTACAAAAACCTCAGCATGTGTATTGTTATTACTAACAGGATTGTAAATAAAGTCTACTCAGTTCAGACTGAATTCTCCTCTTGCCTCATGCCATGTGCCTTGTACCAGAAACAGAATTCTTATCCCACATGTTATTGCTTCTGTCTTCTTTCTATGGAATAAAAAGAATATATCCATCCTCATTAGTCTTCCAGACATGATGGAGGAGCAGTTGTAAACTGGTGTGCAGGTCAGATTTGTTAGAAGATGTGAATTCTAGAGGTGAAGGCAACTCTGTGTAATAAACTGTTTGGGAATTTGAGCTAGTTTAGAAAAGGACAGCAGTCATACTGGAGTGTATTTGACCTATCAAAAGACATTAATCTCTGATACTGCAGTGGTGTATTTTTAGGACTTGGATGTATTTTTAGGGCTGAGAGGCATCAAATCCTAGTGTAAACCTTTAATATGGAAAGATAGATTTTTATGCCAATATGTACATCAGTTGTGTACTTTCACACAAATTTGAATTACAGACGCATATGTGTTACTGTTTTTCCAAATCTAAAACTCATAAGAGCGAAAATTTCAACTTCTATCAATAAAGCCAGCTAGAAATAATACTTCAGTGATTGTTCTGGACAGCTGAAGCACATGCTTTTCAAGTGACTGCTATGGAGTACCAAGTATAATTCAGTGTAAACTTATGTTCCTACCAGAACTGCTTTACTCTCGCACAAATAAGAAAAGCTACTGTATGAAGCTAACCTTGGCTTCTGCATTAGTGCAGAGCTCCTGAATCTGGCAGTTAGCACAACCCTGCCAGCAGTGACCTCTCTCCTGATCAGGATCCCAAGAGGTGATACAGCTCATCTGCTGCTCTGCTTCGGAGACCATTGTTGCCTTTCTGATATTGTGTATCTGGCAAGACGCCGCCTGGTGTTTAAGCTTCACGTAGGCTGGGGGATACTGGAGCACAAGAAGTGACCGGCGTCAAGGCACCAAGTACCAGGCACTCATGGTTGATTACCAGGCAATGCATCTCTGCAGCTCGTTGTACATGAAGGCATTAGGCCAAGTGGATGGGGAAGACTGGCTGTGGTATGATTATGGGAATTTCCCTGGAAATGGTATTGACAAAGTTATTTGAGTGATGGTCAGACCTCCTGGGCAAAGCTAAGCACCCTGTTATTTCTTTAAGAAAACTTACTGTTAATTAAAAAACCAAACCCACTGAAATCCCCACAGATCTCCAGTAACTGGACAGGGAAAACTAATGGAACTGTTCCCCTTGCTGCTGCAGATTCATGTGCAGTCTCATGTAGGTAACAGCAAGTGGTGGTCATTTGTAGATCATTTTGGGGCCAAACTAAGAAATCTTTCTGTAGAAGATTGAGGTTGGTACAGAGCACTGCAGACCTTGAGATTACACTGTTTTTGTGGACCCATCCTAGAGTGTGAAGGGCTACAGTGCCTGAGTTGGACACAAGACTGTGCTTTAGCCCAGTGGGAGGCATTCCCATGTAACAGGAGTTGATGGTGATGCTGACAGCCAAACAACTGGGGAAGCTGAGAAGGGGCTCCTAATAGCTTGTGTGGTGCCATATGCAGTGACTGGCTTAGTATAACCCTGAGCACTTTTATTTTGTTTTTTTAAAATACCCCACAGTCTAAAGGTAGAACTTCTTTAGATGTGATGCAATTGATACGCAGAAGTAGTAGACAACTTCTGGCCAAACTCTTTTCTAATGAAGACGAGGGCACATGATACAGGAATTTGTAGTAAGGTTATATACCAAAAACACCTTTTAGGCATAAGAATCCAGCCTGGAAAGACACAGGGAGACAACATGAGTTACTCATATACTAGTTGCCTACACTGTTTAGGGGACTTGTACTAGCAATGTTTCTCTTCTAGTGACATAGTCACAGAGATGCAGGCTTGGCACCTACTCTTACAGTCCATGGTGTAAGTGCTGCTTCAGACCTTGAGCTTTGTGGAGGGAAGAGCTTCCCTCTCACATGTTCCTTATTCTCAGACAGGGGATAATGAGTTGATAGTGAAGAAATTCATGTGTGATTTCTGGTCCTCAGGATAAGCTGCGTAGTAGTGCTGGTTTATGCAGCATCACAGCTTAAAGCTGAACAGCTAGAAATACTCAGCTTTTTAGAGCTTTATAGTTTTCTAGAACTTTACTTCTGCTGCTGCTGTTTTGGGGCAATTCCAACAGCTGCTTAGTCAACCTTTCATGAAAATGTGTATGGGGAATGAGCTCATTGGCACACTGTAGGATGGATGTTAAAATGAGGCATTTGAGCTAGAGAAGAATGCTGTTGAACAGGATCCATTGTCAAGTTCCTTCATTTAATGAATTTCTGGCTCTTTCTGAGAAGATAATAATACCCAGTTCTCCATGTAACTGTTTGTCCTTGCTAATCAAAGGCAGACTTGAATGTTTATAAACAGAGGACAGCTATTTTTTCAACTGAATTCTTACTTTATTCTTTACTAGAACCACATATGGACTAAATGCTAAGAGCTGAAGTGATGATACACCATAAAACTAAATTATGAAGTGCAGAGATTACTTTTCCCAGTGAAGACTTCCACACAAAACAGAAAGTTATTTTAGTAGCCTGAAGTTCCCAAACAGTATGCTAGTGCTTGTCATTGCTATGTGCACTCAGATATAAACACTGCATGATGGTTTGACTTTCCAGACAGAAGAATAAGTGAACTGGCACTCTAATTCTACATTTCAAGGATATTGACTACAATAGTTGTGCTTAATAAGAAAAGGCTTTTTTGCTTTACTGTACTTACTGGCCACTGGTTTTCTCTTGGCTTTTAAATATTCTGATAATCTTGAAAATCTTGACATTGCTGTTGAATTCCTATAGTCAGAAATTATCTCAGAGAAGGTTTTAGACTTAAAAGATGAAGTCAAAGAAAACAGGTTTACCTAGAACTGTTAAGCTAGCTCCTTTTGAGCTTTTCCCTAAGGAAAAATCTATGATACAGGTGACTTCAGGAGATGCTTTGAAGGCTGTTAACCTTGTAGCTTGTAGAAACCCTTTTTAGGCATCACTACTCAAAGAATACTACTCAACCAAAGCTGAAAAAAAATTTTACTGGTAGTTGGGGTTGCAAACTGCTTTTAGCATCTGACTTGTCATGTATAATATACCTAACAGCTGATTCACTGAGCTTGCATAGGATACAACAGGCAATATTGTATGAACATTAGGTGACTAGACCTGAAAGCTGAACTTGTGTGTACTAACCTGGTACGAAGTCCATTTATACTGACTACAGTTCATGCTTATATTTAAGTATACTTTGTCACTGTCCTCTCTTTCAGGCCAGGAGCGCTTTGGAAATATGACCAGAGTATACTACAAAGAGGCAGTTGGTGCTTTTGTGGTCTTTGATGTCACAAGAGGCTCCACTTTTGAGGCTGTTTCTAAATGGAAGCATGATTTGGACAGTAAAGTATTACTTCCCAATGGCAACCCTATCCCTGCTGTTCTTCTTGCAAACAAGTGTGACCAGAAGAAAGATGGCAGCCAGAACCCCTCTCAAATGGACCAGTTCTGCAGAGAAGGTGGCTTTGTTGGATGGTTTGAAACATCTGCCAAGGTGAGCATAAATATGTTTTAACTCTTAAGTGTTGACATAAGAATGGACGAATATAATTATGAGGAATAAAATTGTCATGTATGCCAAGTGACAGTTAGTCTCTAGCTTTCTTCAAAAGTTGCAAGTCGTGTGCAAGCTAGCTCACTGCTGAGGAAGATGTGTGGCATGATTGGTTTAGATTAGAACTGAGTCTTAAATTCAGAGAACCTTAAAACTAACTGGAAACCTTGATTAACTGAGTTTGCTAAGTTTTTGATTGTGGATGCACCAGCACTAGACTAATTTTTTAGATGTTAATACTACTAAATGCTGATCAAACTATCCAAAAGATACAAGTCATCTTTAGGTACAGGTTTTTAAATTGCAGCTGCTTTATTCATTGTTGCAAATAAAGTAGTAAGACTTTGGAAGTGAACAAACTACTTGCTCCCTTGTCACCACCTAGCCAGATGATGATGTCACTAAAGCACTTTTCTATTTTAGCAGGCAATGTCAAGACTGAACTGGAGAATAACAGTGTTCTGCATAGTAACTTAAGCTAAGAGAGCTGCTTTTTTTCAAACAGATAACTTTGAGTAACTTAATATATTGTATGCTTTTAGTCTACTGACTTGGTCAGTGCGTGGATAAGCTTGTCATAGCTTAGTTGGCAGTGAAATCCAACAGTTCCTTAGAAGTCAGCTGACCCTTAAAATGAAAGGTTTCTTTAGCTGAAGACAATGTGGCTGACAGACCAAATTACTGGTCTGGCTGATAACTCCTTTATATGATAAGCTAAACCTCAAGGTCCCTCTTTTCCCTTGGCTTGCCTACTTCCTTTAACTGCTGCTGCTGCTGAACTGGCACAAAATGATGCTTAGACAACTTTTTTAAAGAAAAAGCGTGTAACAGGAATATAAGAAATAAAGGAACAAGCCTCTTTCTGACCACTTTAAGGAAGAAGGGCACACAGTAACAGGAAGTAGTTAAATTGGCTAAGCATTTGAACAAATCATTACCAAACCCACCCATATGTTACTAAAAGCTCACATTTGAAGGCTTTTCATACTTAACCCAAAGCAGAATCTTAGTATTCATGTCTTCCCTGAAGCTTCACTTGTCCATAAGATGCTTTTAAGCTTCAGCATGTGTTAAATGTGAGTAACACTGGAAGAAAACCTAATGTGAAACTGTAGTGACAGCTTGCATTTTGGGTGGCATTTAAGACATGACAATGTAAAACAAGGTTATTGGTGCAGAGAAAAGTCCAGACACTGTTAGTCCTACTGACTTGTTCAGAACTCTGAAGAGGTGTAGCTAAAATAGCTTAGCAAAAATTCAGGATGGCTTTCTTGTTTTCCAAGCATACCAAATCATTTTATGTTTTTAAGTCTTGCTCACTTAAATATCCTGATAATCTGCTTTTGCCTTTCTGCTGGAACTGATACTTGAATTTTCAGTCTAGTTATTAGTAATATAGGTCCCACTCCCTGTGGATTAGGAAGAAGATTAGAGGCAAAAGAACTGCAGAGAGTATTAAGTATTCATAGAAATACCTTATGAGCATCCTTAAACTGAGGAGAATCCTCCTTCCCTCTAGGCAGGGAAAAATGCCTCTCTGCAAACTGCCAAAAGCAGTTTGTGATTGATAACAACAACCTCATGAAGTGTAATAGAGATGGGTCAAATGTTTTCATGATCTAACCTTGCTCAAGTAGAGTTTAGTTCTACAATTATGAAGACAGAAGATTGTACTGGGGTGACAGTTCCTCTGGAACCAAAGATGAGCAGTTCTAAATGTGGCAGTCCTGTGGTGAGCTAACAGCTGACACAAAGGTCCCTTGACACTGGCCAATTTGGCTCCACAGTAACTGAGATACCTCATTAAAATGCATTTCTAGTTATCCTGCATACACACCTTCTTTAGAGTGTATATAAAGGTCCTTTTTGCTGTGTGCATAAGAAGATGTGGAGTGGCTAGATGAGGCACCCCGATTTAGCTAGAGTTTTGAGGCCTTTTGCATAAATAAGTGCAACCAAACTGCAGCAGAAGCAGGCCAGAAAAGATAGAACTCTACTATGAGAAATGCAACTGCTGTTATCTTTCCTGATACAGAAATGCACTTTGCCATTTGTAAGCCTTCCAAATGCAGGTGACACTTAGCCCTCAACTGCCCACTGTATTAGTCAACGTATCCTATTTGTAATATTGGTGGCTCACTTTGTCTCAAATTTTTTCTGGTAATTCTTTTCAAAAAACTACCTGATGCACTTAAGCTGTTTGTGTCACACTGAGATTGTAGAAGTTCTTATATTTGCTTAGATTCTAGTAGGAAAGTTTGACTATTTAAAAAAAATCACTCACTTCTTTGCTTTTGACATTTTTAGGACAACATCAACATAGATGAAGCTGCTCGATTCTTGGTGGAAAATATACTTGCCAACTACAAAACCTTTCCTAATGAAGAGAATGATGTGGGGAAACCAAAACTGGACCTAGACCCATTGAAAGCAGAGAGCAAATCACAGTGCTGCTAATGCTACCACTGTTCAGTAAATGTGATGGGATGAGCAGCAAGACTGTTCCTTAAATCAAACTGCTGCTGCTACGGTGCTGTGTTGTGACAATCCATATGGGGCATCTGGTATTATCTGAATAGGTGATTCTTGTGGGTGTTTACATATTCTTGTTTAGGATGAAGCTGAGTGTCTTGTGAATTATCACTCCACTTTCTTGAGTGGCTGCATCTAAACCTGATTAGTGTCTTCTTACTTGAGAATGTAAAGGTGTGTTTACACTCCTAAAAAGAAACAAAGACAACATTCAGTGTCTCGTTTGCTTCTAGGACATATGCTGCCTTCTAAACAGGATTTTCTCATTGTGACACATGAACAGACACTGCACCTTTAAAGTAAACTTCTTTGTCAACAGTAATGTCCCACTTTAGCATTCTCACATACACACTTGTCCCTATTTATTATCCCCCACCGTGAGGATCTGTCTCACTGCTAATTCTCCTGGATTGAGACATCCCAGAAATCTTGAAGGGGCCAATGACAGATGGGAGATACCTTTCTTAGTGTGTTCACTAGGACTGAGGGAAGTAGATGGCTTTTACCACTAAGTAAGAACAAGATGGATAAATCATTGTACTCAACTGGGGAAAGGCGTGGTTCTAGAGATATTAACCAAAATGCATCTACAGCCATTTAAGGCAGGATACTTTACATATGAAAGTAAAGTTTTATTATTATATTCAGCTAATACTTTACACATGAAACGCATTAAGTACAGTTGTACTGCTGGCACTTAGTTATGGTAACCTCACCCATATGCATATCCAGAAATAAACTTTTTCATGCACTAACACTGAGAACTTTACCAAGAGTGCACAAAGTAAATACCTTGCTGTCCTGTGATAATGAACTTGCTTCTTTTTCCTTCTGGCTTGAGATAGTTCTGAATATCATGAGGAAGGAGCGACATCTTGAAGGAAATAGCTTAACTTGTTCTTGCAAGCTTATAAAAAACCCAAACCTGTAAGCTCTATCTTTTTCAATTTTAGAACAGTGCTGTGCTGTTCTGACTACTGGGGGCTGGTGAATTGGCTTACCGGTTTGTAACTATATACTGAGATGCTTATGTTTCCCTGTTATAACTCATATATGTTTTGGCAGCAAATGAAGATCAAAAGGATTAGAGAGATTTCATGGTTCTTGAATACATTCTGGAAATCTGGCTCTGCTTGGCTGAAAGGTTTTGAAGCTCCTCTTTATTTTAAGGGTTCCTTCTTTCCTGGTATCTCATTTCTACTGACTTAAGAAGTCTTATCTTGCTTGGTCTGATGGTGCTGATCTTTAAGCAAAGATCAGCATGAAGTATGTGCTAGATTTCATATACTTTAATCTGTACTGAGATTTCCTAGGCTTTTTTTCTAAAGAGTAACATACTTTTTAAGAGACAAATAAATACATTTGGGCATCTTATGTTGTTAGTGTATTGCTTTTGAGAACGTGAATCTTCACATCATGCGCCCCAGCCTATACACAAACGGCTTCACTGACATCTGAAAACAATTTTATCTTCTAGTAGCTGCTATATTAAAGGCTTATTTTAAATTACCACAGTAAAGCTTGCCATAACTTAAAATGGGTTTAACTAGCTTAGGGGCACAAGAGAAGTCAGATGAAAGGCTGAAGATGCCATATAGTTTTCCTGGACTATGTTTGTGCAGTGTGTCTGTGCAGCTAATGCAAAATCAGCCCCTGTTCATTTAGAAAGCTTAATCAGGCCATACAATTGCTGAGAAAATAAAGGAGTTAGAACAATTAGTGATCTTTCAGTATGGGATTCTCTAGGTGTATCTTAACTGCAGTAGTAGAATATAAACTATTCCAAGCTCCAGAGTTTTATTTGTTTAAGCTTTGTGTCACACTTATTGAGTTGTAACAGCATTCAGTCTTCTTCAGATGAACAAGGTTTTGTTTGATTTTAGTGATTAATCACTGGGGAATAGTTTGAGTCATTCTTGCAGACTTAAGGCCTGAGTAACCATTTAATACATGGTGGTATGGGGATATACATTCAAGAGATACCTGCAGCAAAACTATTGAATGGTGAAATATTTTGCTCTTAAAAACTGTTGCTCCCTTATCTTTCTAGTTTTAACACCTAGCTAGTGACCTTAGTTCCAAACCTCTTTCTCCCTTTACAGAATACCTTATTTGGTACAGAAACACAGTTTTTGAGTGTATGCCTTTGTCCTTCAGATAATTAATTGCTTAAGAATTTAAGAAATGGGGGTAGCAGTATATTTTCAGGAATAAAAATCTTAAAATGCCGGTGAGATAAATAACAATTCTGAACTGAAATACATCATTCACTTGGCAGTGCACAAAAAGTCACTTCAGAGTTCTCTGTCCTGCAGCAGAATAATAGTGAAAATAAAGAACATACGAAATTCAAATCTGACTAGGTAGTAAAGATTATTTGAAAGAAATTCTGTCTGTATTGTATATAAACATCATAAAGCTCTGTTTGTAAGCTCACTTCTGTGTTTCAATTTGTATCGGGGGTGAAAAAATACTTGGTGTATTTTTAAACATATGATTATTTACTCTTTTATCACCAGCTACAGTAGCGTTCATTCAGTGACAATTTCTAAGTTAGACATACTATGTGGCAATATTGGTTCCTTCATCCTTTTGCAAAGATAAGTATAGCAATCTTGCATTTTCTTATCACTAGGTAAATCATCCTTTGGCCTGAACTCTAAATGAAACTAAAATATGCAAAATTCTTGGCCTTATTGCCCTTAACTTGTAGCTAGGAGTAAAAGGTAGCTTCTGCATGTCTAGAGGCATTTTAATATTATGGGATTTGATCTATCTTTTACAGGTTCTAGGGAAAAAAAGTGTTCAGCCTTTTGATAAAGCAGGCTTCTGTTTTGCCTTATTTTTTGTTTGTTTAGTTGGGTTTGGGTTGTTGTTTTTTGGGGGGTTTTTTATTAACGTTTAACCTGTTTATTATCATGACCCTACCTAAAGCTTAAGTTATGCTAATAATTATTGGTCCTGTTGGAAAGCTTATGTCTCCTTAAATATTAAAGATAGCATAGGTGTTCTGCTAACCTTGTTTCTAAACTCTTCTGCCCTTTACTACTATGTATCAAAATAGTACGTATAATGAACTTCCAACCTCTCACCTTCAGATGGTTTTATTTTTTTAACTTTTGTATTTCAAAACTGTCCCAACGTTCATATTATGCCCAAGCATCTTTGGTTATAATGAATGAATTTTAATTCACAGTGCTATTTCAGATGTAGCAAAACATCTGCCCCACCAAGATACATTCAGTATTAAATGTTGCAGACAAGGATTTTTATACCGAGTCAGTATTTATTTGGTACAACACTGAAATACTTGTATTGAGCACAAAGATTACTTCTAGTCTCTTTTCTCTGGACAGCGTCTGGCTGGTTGAAGTGCTAGTGCTTCTATGGATATATGTACAGGCTATATGGGGTTTGTGTGGCAAGGTTGTGGTAGCAGTGGGGCTGCAGTGGTGGCTTCTGTGAGAACCTGCTGCAAGCTTCCCTTATGTCCAACAGAGCCAATGCCAGACGGCTCCAGAATGGACCGGCTGCTGGTCAAGGCTGAGCCCATCAGTCATGGTGGTAGTACTTCAGGAGTAATGTGTTTAAGGAAGAGAAAATGTTATTGCACAACAGTAATTCCAGCAGGAGAGATGAATGATAATATGTGCAGCCCATGGAGGCTACCAGTGGAGCAGATATCCACCTGCAGCCCATGGAGGACCCCATGCTGGAGCAGGTGGATGCCTGAAAGAGATGTGTCTCCATTGGAAGCTGGTGGGCCTGCAGTGAGAGGAGCCCATGCTGGAGCAGGTTTGCTGGCAGGACTTGTGACCCCATGCTGGAGCAGTCTGTTCCTGAAGGACTGCACCCCATGGAAGGCACCCACGATGGAGATGTTCATGAGGAGCTGTAGTCCATGGGAAGGACTCGTATTAGTGAAGCTCATGGAGGACTGTATCCTGTGGGAGGGACCCTGCGCTGCAGCAGGGAAAAAGTGTGAGGAGTCCTCCCCTTGAGGAGGAAGAAGCAGCAGAGGCAATGTGATGAACTGACCACAGACCCCATTCCTTGTCCATTTATTTTTGCTGGATTATTGTTTAAACCCAATTGGATGAAACTTACTATAGCTCAAATTGTTGTGATGGCACTTTTGTCATGTTGGGTATGATAACATAACTATTATAATGAGTTCTGTCAATTTTGTGTTTCAAAACTTAGAGCATGTAAACTGCATTGAGGTATTTTTTTATTTAGAGAAGATAATTTATTTTTACTTGAAGATATCTTATTGGTATACCTGTTTAAGGTCTTGTTCCTGACTTTTCTTGAAGAGTGTTAAGCACATTCATATTACAAAATATTTATCTAGCAATCTTATATTTTCCATTTTAAAAATAGTATAGCTTTTTTTCTCTTAGCCTGTATACACAACTGCAACCCCACTTAAAACTGAAGTTAGTCAGTATAAAAAAGAATTTGCGATGATCTGCAGAATGCCTGAACTTAGAACAAGACTTACATTTTTAAATCTCCTGTAAAATACTAGATCCTTAATTGCAAATACAAAAAAAAAAACCCAGATAACAAAATATATTAAGAGATTTAACAGGTTCTGCAGTTCAGTAGCTAACACTGCATTAAGACTGTGTATCCAAATTTTAAAAACAGAAATATCTCTCCGTTCTTCAGGTTACGATCAAAATTCATCATAGCTTTTAGCCAAAAATTTAGATATTTTTAAAGATGTACTACTACTTCCCCTGTCAGTATCGTCATTTCTTAACAACTCCGGTAGCTAAAGTACCACAGTTGCCCTCAACTCTAAGGTTCAGATAGGGGTTTTCATGCACTATCAAAATAAGGAGGTCTTTCACTTTGAAATGGAGAGATACTCTTGCTATGAATCATCAATCACAAATTTAGAAAAGAAAAGCAAGGGCACTGCATAGTTCTCTGAGCTATAATTTGCTCTCTGTACCCTTTTTCCCCCAATATTTGAGTAGAAGGAGAATGAAAGTTATGGTCACCAGATCACAAAACCACTTTGGCTTAAAATTATGTACCCTGAGCTGTCACATGGGACTTGATGGTACTGCTGTATTTAAATTGGGCTTGGACAACTGCTGAATATTTCACAAAGTATTTTTGGGCCATCTTCCCCAAAAATGAGACTATATCATGACAATGTGATCAAAAGGTGCTCTGGCAAATAGAGAACTTAACAAAAAAGATAAGTGGAAATAGTAACACAGCTGGGGTTCATCAGAATCCTTTCTAGCAGAAAATTCAGGGAAGGCTGGAGTGCTGGAAA